AAAAAAAAAAAAAAACCCAAACCAAAACTGTTCTATTGCAATTATTCAGGCTAACAAGGAGAGAAAATAGAGAAAAGCTCAACAAGTATTAAGTTCATTTATGTATTTTTATAATCAAGAGATTGAGGTCTTAATTTAAGATATGTAATTTGCCTAAGAGGTGTCCAATGCCATGGTATTTTGGCTTTCAGACAGCGAATAATCTTTTTCTTTTATTTTTCTTTTTTAATTTTTTTATTAAAAAAATTTTTTTTTAACGTTTATTTTTGAGACAGAGAGAGACAGAGCATGAACGGGGGAGGGTCAGAGAGAGCGAGAGAGAGGGAGACACAGAATCTGAAACAGGCTCCAGGCTCTGAGCTGTCAGGACAGAGCCCAACGCGGGGCTTGAACTCACAAACCGCGAGATCATGACCTGAGCCGAAGTGGGACGCTTAACCGACTGAGCCACCCAGGCGCCCCAATCTTTTTCTTTTAAAGAACTCTCAAAATAAATGTTTTTCTTTTACTGTTATTCCATGCTCCATAAATATATTAAAAAACAAAACAAAAATTGGCAATAATTAATAAGCCGCAATGCTAAAGTGAAAGTTCCAGTATTATGTAATTCTAGAACTTAAGGTTTTCAGTATTACTTGGAATAAATTAATTTTAACTGATACTTCTATAGAAATTATACTTTTAATTCTTGTGATAGAAAATGTGATGGAAAAAGTTTGATAAAACAGAAATTAAGAGTAATCTCAGTTATAATGCTTGAACATTCCACCCGGGTATTATTTTATCCAGGAAGCCTTTCCTAAGTATTTTGCTTTGGGTTAAGTCTAGCTGCACAGTACTGTGAGAGCACAGATTGTCAAGCCAAATGGTGAAGTCTAATACACTAAATTGTCATTTACCGGATTATCTGCCTTTCTCTGCCATGAGTTTTCAGGTTCCTTGAAGGCAGGAATTATACCCTTATTAATCTGTGTACCTCTTGTGCCTTGCTTATAATCTCTGGCATATTTTACATTTGTTACCTAGTAGATTTTATTATTTGTTATAAACATGCCGTGCAGTTTTGCCTGAAGCTGTTTTATATTATTCATTCTAGGGTTCTCCTGCCATTAGAATATTCAGCTCTTTTATACATATATTAGTTACTGAGGTTGCTTTACTTATATTTTGAATGGAATTTTTTTCTGATTTTAAATATTAGGTCTTGGAGAAAATGCTTGTGCAAAGAAAAGTCATGAAAAGTACCTTATAGCTCTGAAGAGCTCTGGACTTACGTATCCCGAGGATAAACTTGTATACGGTCTACAGGAACCATCAGCTGGCACTAGCACTCTGGCAGTGCAAGGTTTGTCTGTTTAATTTGAACAGTGGTGACTTTTCTGTGTTAAAACAGAAAGACCCTCACACTTGACTTGTTGTTGGAGAAATTTAATGTGTCATTCCTTGGTGGTAAACATGTAGAAGCAAGAAAGAATAGGTTGGCCAAAGAAGAGAATACATTTCTTAAATGGAATTTGGTTGTTTATTTAAGCTTCTGTTTTTAACTCATGAAGAAGGTAGCAGTTGCTATTTAAGAGTAGCCCAAAACTTTAGTATCTTAATATTTTAGTAAACAATGATATAAAAAGAAAGAGATCCTTCTGAAACATTATTTGTGATGATTAAATCTGGATTTTCACTACAGATTTCCTTTGAAGTATAAACCTATATTAGGCCCAAATTTATTAAAGATAAATGTTGAACTCTCCCAAGATAACTGTGGGAATGAGTTGTCTTAATGTAACAAAACTTAGCTTTTTGTTTATGTCTCAGAATAATTTTAAAGTAAGGCAATACGTAACAGCTATGAAGGAATTTTTTTTTTTTCCTTTCCAAAGGTTTTGCGGGTGCAACAGGAACTTTGGGACAACTAGATTCTTCAGATGAGGTGACATTTAAAATTTAAAACTTTTTGCAAATAAAAGTTTTAGAACTGTATAGATTTGTGGATGTTATCTAGTTTAAAATTCTCATTTTGTACACAAGGACACTGAAGCCTAGAGTGAAATAATTTAGCCAAGATTGCAAAGTTACTAGCTTTTTACTTCTGGTTTATAATTCATTTCTTTCTTCACAGTTCAAAGTGGGAGATAGAAAGAGATAGCAATTTCTCCTAGGAAGATATCCCCATGTTGACCCAAATTATCCTATATACAATGAAATTGTTTTAAGAAATTTAGCTTAGTCTAGAACAGTGTATTAAAAGAGTATAAAATGTAACTGCTTAAAAAAATGTAACTGCTTTTCCAATTTCATAACAAGCTATACCTTATATGTTATATCTTATTTTAAAAAGCAGGGAAATGGGCTGTCAGTTTGAAATTTCAACTTTTATAGTACTTACTAGCCAAATAGTAGTGTTTATTAAATATGTCTGATAAATCCTTTAGAACATTCATATATTTTATTAATATACAACTTATAAGGGATCAAATATACAAATATTTGTGTACAATTTTGATGCTTATGAAATTTAAATTTCACATTTTTCTAAAATTATACATTTAATGATTAAAATTTATTTATTTTTTGATGTTTGTTTTTGAGAGAGAGACAGAGAGAGAATGAGAGAGAGAGAGAGCATGAGCAGGGGAGGGACAGAGAGAGAGACACACACAGAACTGGAAGCAGATTTCAGGCTCTGATCTGTCAGCACAGAGCCCAATGCGGTGCTCAAACCCATGAGCCACGAGGCTTGAACCCACAAGCTGTGAGATCCTGAGATGAGTCAAAGTCAGATACTTAACCAACTGAGCCACTCAGGCGCCCCAGTGATTAAAATTTAAAACCTAAAAATTGTGTTATATTAAAACATACACTTTTTCTTTGAAAACCCATTTTGATTTGAAAATATCACATGAACTAAGAAAAATATCCTTTTTGAAAACATGATTTCTGTTATTGATGTCTTGTAATTGATTTAATGCCTTATAATTTGAACTTCCTGGTAGTATTTTTCCCCTCTAAAAAGGCTCTCACAAAATGCAACATTTTATGGAGTCCCTTTTTGGACAGTTTCAAAGAGTTTTCAACAAATTGGAGAGACAATTTCATAGGCTGTTTACAAGTTTGACTCTGGAATTAGAGTGCCTGGGTTTGTTTCTGGCTCCTGTACCAATTAGTAGTGTGACTTTAGGCAAGTGTCCTAACTTCTCCATGGCTAAATTTCCTCTTCTGCAAAATGGAGGTGATAATAGTATTATTGCCAGGAGTTATTATGAGGATTGAATGAGTTCATATATGAAAGCACTTAAACTAGTGCCTGGCATATTGTGAACACTGTATATGTGTCTGTTAAATAAGTTAAAATAAAATCATAAAAAAATTAAATTTAAAATCATTAAAAATAGTGCAAATGGTTAGCTAAAACTTTTGTTTTTTTTAACTTTAAAGATAAGTTACAAAGAACATTGCTATAATGATGAATTGGAAAACTTGTATTTAAAATAGATTCTCAAAAGTACATATAAACATTATTCATTATTCCAACCAAAATAATAATAATTCCATTTCGAAGCTAGTGGAGGGGAGTGATGGAGGTAGGAATACTAATTGTTCTTATGTCAAAGAAGGAAGAGATTGGATAATAGACATGTGGTTTCAAATGACTTACTCTTCTTTCCATAAGGGCATTTTATGGGGAGGCAAAATGGCCTCTAAAAAGGCAAGATCTGGGAATACTAGGAGTTGAATATGAATGGGTGCATGGACATTTTTGGTTTAAAGCCAGCCAGATAGGAAAGGAGCCTTGTCTATTGTCAGTAGAAACTTTAGAAAATAGTTGCATAATGAAATGGTTTAGTGATGTTACAGAACACTTTTAAAGATAATCTAAACATTTTATGTGATTTAGAACAATAAAAACCTATACTTACGTTATATGATGGGATAAAATTTTCGTATTATTTTAGCATACCTAGCATTATGCATCTAACAGCCATGCTAATAATTCTGCTTTACTTCCATGAATTGAATTTTATTTCTGGGCATGTAGAAAACTGATGTTCAACATAGATCCTTTTCCTCTGTCTAAGGAAAGTAGTAACAGTCATTTTGTCTTGGCCTAAACTCTCCAGATTGCCTTTTTAAACTGCCAGGGGAGATTTTAATTGTATATAACTGCATTACAATAACACTGTATTTTATGGTAGGGTGCTAGAAGGAAATCCTTTTGTGTATGTGTGTGTGTGGGGGGGGGTGGGGGTGGAGAGAGAAGTAATTTTTGCGGGGGTATCAGAGGATTTGAAATATGGCTTTTCTTTGTTCATTACCATTGCTTCTAGTCTGTCCTTAGATCTTCTGTTCCTCTGTTCTTTCCTCTTGGATTCTTTGTTTCAGCAACTTTTTGTGTGTGATATGGTTTTATTACAATAATAGGTAATATTTTGTTCCTTCATTATGATTGTGTGTCAGTGTGAGTATCATATTAAAAACATCTTGATGGTGACAGCTTCAAAATACTTCATTTCTTCTATCCTCAAAATACATCATTTTTTGAGAGTATCTGAGAAGAATTACTGTTAGAGCATGTGATACATATTTAACTTATGTATTTAAAAGTACTTTAGACTTTTTCACCTTTAAATCACATTTTATAATTAAAATTTTAATCTCTTTAAAAGTACTTTTTGTAATTTACATATTTTTTTTAGTTTATATATTTTCTTAATATATGTGTTTATTATATTTTCATAAAAATGGGGTAATTCGGGCATTTGCAGACTTAAAGAGTTTCAAGTGAGTTGTTTAGCTGGAAGTGCATTGAAGGGCTATCTATTTTAGTTTTTCTTTAAGAGAACCTTGGGCTTTAGAGTTAGGAAGACCTTAGTTTGAATTTTCTTTCATAATCTCGCTCTGCTTTTGCCAGGTTATTTAACTTCCGAACATCCATTTTCTCTTGGAGAAATGAAGGTGATTATGTTACGATTAAATGGGATAACGTATAAAGTACCTATCATGGATTAGACATAGAGTAGACTCTTGATAAATGTTTTTGTCTGAGTACTTCATGTGAGAAGTGGTTCAAATACATGAATTTTTGAGCTGTTGTGGGTCATATTATATACATTTCTATTTATTGTTCCGGAGGAAATAGTTTGCTAAAGCATGTTTTAAAAGAATGAAGTTTATTTTTATTTTTATATTTATTTATTAAACACATTTTATTTTTTTCATATTACCTGTCAAATTTTCTTTGGCAAATTTACCCCATATACCAAATATTCAATTTAGAGCTTAGTTTATATTTATATAACTGAATGCCATTCACCAAGATACCTTTCTCTAACCCCTAATGGTTTATTTATTTATTTATTTTTTATAATTTACATCTAAGTTAGCACATGGTTCAACAATGATTTCTGGAATAGATTCCATAAGCCCCTTACCCATTTAGCCCATCCACTCCTCCCCTAACCCCTCCAGCACACCTCTGTTCTCTATAAGAGTCTTTTATGTTTTGTCCCTCTCCCTGTTTTTATATTATTTTTGCTTCCCTTCTCTTATGTTCATCTGTTTCGTATCTTAAAGTCCTTTTATCAGTGAAGTCATATGATATTTGCCTTTCTCTGACTAAATGCACTTAGCATAATACCCTCTAGTTCCAGCTGCGTAGCTGCAAATGGACAAATGAAGTTTATTTTATTTATTTATTTATTTTTTTAATTTTTTTTTTTTAACGTTTATTTATTTTTGAGACAGAGAGAGACAGAGCATGAACGGGGGAGGGGCAGAGAGAGAGGGAGACGCAGAATCGGAAGCAGGCTCCAGGCTCTGAGCCATCAGCCCAGAGCCTGACGCGGGGCTCGAACTCACGGACCGCGAGATCGTGACCTGAGCTGAAGTCGGACGCTTAACCGACTGAGCCACCCAGGCGCCCCTGAAGTTTGTTTTTAAAAATTTAATTGAGATATTACCTAAATAATGCACAAATACATTGTAGTTGTTTTCCAGACAGTTCAGATAGAGTAAAAGTCCTTTCTCTATCCTCACTAGCACCAGCTCTTCTTTGGGTAACTACAGTTAATAGTTCGGATGTCCTCGACAGACCTTTTTCCATGGAGTTAAATAACCATATGTTTACAGAAATGTGTGTGTGTGCATGTGTGTAAATAAAAGGTGTTGTGCTATTTTATGGCCTTCTTTTATTTACTGCAAAGTGTATTGTGTAGATCCATCTTTGTCAGTACTGTTCTTTCCATTTGCTGTACAGTAATCTGGGATATGAATAAACTAGTTTGTCCAATCATTTCTTTAATTTGCAGTTTTTTCTTACAAGGTGCAGTACTTACATCTCTTTTTATGCAGATGTGCAGATAGTTTTCTAAGGTGGAATTAAGTCACAGGATATGCATATCTTAAATTGTAATAGATTATATTTTTCTGATTATAAAAATCACGCATACTTAAAATGAAAAATGTAGAAAAGTGTAAAAATAAGATCATTACTTAGGACTAATTGTAGAAGAGTTTTAGTAATAAAGTCAAGAAATTTCCTATTTTAAGATTATAATCACAATTTTTTATATAAAAACACTTATTTTTATTGATTTGTATACCACAAGGTCTTTGCTTTTTGGTTCTGAACACATTTTCAAATCTTGAGCTGGAAACAGAAAAATCAGGGGCTCTTGGGTGTCTCAGTCAGTTAAGCATCCAAGTTGATCTTGGCTCAGGACATGATCTCATGGCTTGTGAGATCGAGCCCCACATTGGGTTCTGTGCTGATAGCATGGAGCCTACTTAAGATTCTCTCTTTCCTCTTCTCTGTGCCTCTCCTCCACTCACGTGAATTCTGTCTCAAACAAACAAACAAAAAAATAGAAAAGTCATATAGGACAACAAAAACAAAAATGAGAATTAGGAAGGGGCAATTTGGTGGTTATAAAA